TTATGCGTGAACTTCAAGTACGCCTGTAGTCGTCACGTCAATTTCTTGGGGTACATTGGTTCATTGGGGTAGTAGAGAGCAGGAGGGGAATCCCTTGTCAGCTCCATCGCTTCCCGATCATTGCTGGGATGCTCGTCATTGCGCAACGGGAACTCCGGAGAGGCCGTCGCACTTGTAGCTGAAGCAACACGATCCCGGCATATTCAGCAGGTGTGTATCAAGTAGTCGTTTGAAGCAATCCACTGTCTGTGCATCAACGACAGTCGGCGGTAACCGGTTCCAATTATTCACAACGCGAGTGGATAGAGCAAGAATGGACCGTACTTTGAGCCTCCGTGGCTTAAATATTTTCCATTGGTGGCCTCTAGTCGAACTCCCGATGTTGAGGCGGAAAAGTTCCTGCAACTCTCCCCAGTTCTCCCCTGAGGATAAGACGGGTAAAGATCAAGTCCATACGCCGACGGCGGTAATCCATAGAAAACTTATTCAAATGCCGAGGCTGAAGTGGATACGGCAGGTCACGTAACTCGGAGACAAACTTCGATCCACGCCGTTGGACCTTTTCGATCATATCGCGCTCAGATTTGGAAAGCGGGTAGGCAGCAGGGAGACCGTATTCCAAAATCGTGCGCACATGCGAGGTGAACAGAAGTCTAAAGAGTGCCGGTGTCAAGCGACAGAAAGCTCTTCGGATGGCATGAAACATTCTGTAGGCAGCGGCAACCATCTTCATGGTGTCCTGAGAGGATCTTAATTCCGGGGAAACAAGCACACCCAGATCTCTCTCTGATGTAACCTTTTTGAGCAAGAAACCACCTATGTGGTACGCGCCGAGTGGTTCAGGAGCGCCGCTAGACAGGACGGAACATTTGTCTTGATTAATGGGTAAATGCCACTGAATCGATCAAGTGTGCAGGAGATCGAGCATGACTTGTAGTCGATCAGCATCCTCTAGAGAGGATATCTCCTTCCATATCTTTAGATCATCCGCATAAATCAGGCAATCCGATTGAAGCTCCGACGGTAGATCGTTGATGAAGATGTTGAAGAGTTCGGGCCGAGGACGGAGCCCTGTGGAACACCGCTGGTCATATGAACAGGATCGGAATACGTTTCGTTCACTCTCACCAGCATGGAACGAGTGTGTAGGAAATCAGAAAACCAGGAGAGAAAGTTTCCAGAGATACCGATTAATCGGAGTTTGTAGGGAAGCTGTTCATGAGGGACCTTATCAACTGCTTTACTGAAGTCCACGAACACAACATCCGTGCGTTTGCCAACATCCAATGAATTTGCCCATTTTTTACTAGCCAGAAGCAAGTTGGTAGAGCAGGAGCGAGCTTTGTCAAAACCATGTTGGGCACTGGATATCAGATCCAACCGCTCGAGATGAAGTCGAAGCGCCCGTTTCAGAACCCGTTCCATGATTTTGCACACTATCGATGTAAGGCAGATGGGCCGGTAGCAAGCTGGGTCTTGCCGGTTCCCTCCTTTGTATATGGGCTTCAAGATGCCCATCTTCCAAGCGGTCGGGAGAAGTCCGGACTGAAACTATCGACGGAAAACCTGCGTGCTAGGCGAAGCAATGTACTGAGCCACAGTCTTGAGGAACAAAGGGTGCAAGTCGTCAGGACCAGGCGATGAGTAAGGATCCAACTCACAGAGAAGTTTCAACACGACGTCATTGTTAATATCAACGTGTTCTAACAGAGAAGGGGGAGCTCACACGGTTCTGTCAGCAAACGACACTGAGGTTGAATACACTGAAGAGTATTGCCGAGCCAGGTGGCTGGCTTTGTCGGTGGCTTCGTGAACTGGATCCTTATTTTCGGAAGAACACAGGGCAGGGATACCACTGCCCGCTCTAGTGCTCCGTTTGAGGTAGGAGAAAAGCGTCTTAGGAGTGTTTCTAGAATGTGTGGCTAGAGAGAGTTCATATTGTTGACGTTTCTCACGTTTTTGCAGGATACAGGTATTCCTAACCGTTTTGTAACTGATGTAGTCATGCTCTGACTGCGTGATCCTAAGGCGGTCTCACAACTTACGTCTTCTGTTCATTAGGGAATTCAGATCACGATCGATCCATGGAGGGCCTCTAGAGAGCGGTCGCTTTTTGGAAATGGGGACAACTTGCCCAATGAGTGATGTCAGCTTGGAGTACAGGCACCGTCCACATTGAGCTGTTCGGGGATATACCAATCCATACTGCTTGCAGCCGTTTTAAGACGAAGGGCATGGGTACGCTAGAAATTTCGGCGAACGGCACATAAGTTGTGAACGGTAAAGCGACGAGTCCATTGGAATAAAATGGTACAATGATCGCTTTTACCAATAGGTTGGAAGACTGTTAGGTCCATAACGTCTGACTGCGCTGGGGAGAGCCCAAGATCCAGGATATGAGGCGACTGGCCGGCGAGAATGCGAGTAGGCATGGACACACGTTGATACAGGCTGCAGTCGAGAATGGTATCAGGAAAAGCGGCATCAAAGGAATTAGGTGGACGATTGCAAAGAACGAAGTCCCAGTCGATATTAGGAGCAGTGAAATCTCCCAGAATAAGACAAGCCTTTCCAGCACCGTGCTTCTTGATCAGTTCCAACAGGCGAGCTCCCGCGCCCAGTGGCGCTCTGTAGATGACACCAATCAAAGAAGATCTGCACCCGTCATGAATGCGACACCGAAGGGCATCAAAATCGCTGTCATTGTCACATGAGACCTCAACTAGATGGGATTCAGATCCCCTCTCCAGTTTAGTCTTACGCCGCCTCCAGACTTCTCCCCATAACGACCGGGCCGAGTAAGGTGGTATCCAGGGTTAGGTACTTCAGAGTCAATGATGTCAAGGAATAACCAGGTTTCAGTGAAGGCCAATAAATCAGGACAAACATCTGCGGCAAGCGTCTGGATCTCATCAAGTTTATTTCGCAGACTACGAACATTAGCGAACAGCACACGCAGTCCGTTCTTTTGCGTTACTGTCCTGGGGTGAGAAAAATCGGTCTCCAACGGGTTCTTGGAGTTTTCCGAACTACGCGAAAATCCGCGATATGAAGGTCCGTTTCACCATTCGCCCGACGGGTACTCAGCTCATCAACGGCTTTTTTCATTTTGGTCCGATCTTCCGGGGAGAGATCACTGAATACATAAAACGGCTTGCCTTTGAGCCGTGAGGTCCGTAGGAGAAAGCGTCGACATTCTTCCTCGTTTTGGAACACAACCTTTAGGGGGCGAGGCTTGGGGGAATCCTCTTGTTTCTTACCTAATCGGAAAGCCGAGATAATGTTAATTCCCTGTCCGCCTTCGTCGAATAACACAGCGATAAGTCGTTCCAGGAACACTTGGTAGTCTAACATCCGTCCGGCTGGGGCATCTTTGGTCGACTCGGGCGCATTCATAATGATGAGACACCGGTCACGGGAAGGTGGTAGGGTACGCCTGGTGTTTTGCGGTTAGGAAGGATTTGCGCTGTCTCTGATAAGCGATTCCAAATGGTTAATCTTGTCAAGGACAGATTTGAACTGCGACTGAGGGAAGGAAGTCTTTGATTTAGGCTTCAACTTAGTCTTAGCGTTATACATATCACCAGATGCGGTGGTACTTTCCTTTACAACCGATGCGTATGTCTTGGTCTTGGTCTCGCTGTGATGGACGTATTCCAACGGCTGGGAGAAAGAATCAGACCGCCCGCGACTTCGTTTACCTGTGGGAAAGGCTGGTGCGGAGGCGGTATTGGGAGAATGAGGAGTAATTAGGGGGACCAGGGTATCGGGAGCCTTGGGTGTCATTGGAATGGGATGATGGCTGATCGAGGAGAGCCCATTCACGAGACGTCTGTTGTTTAAGAAAGTACGGCAGACATCACAAAAGAAAGCAATGGCTGGAGAAGTCATCAACTGTAGTGCTTCATACTGATCAGGACCGATGCCACAGCAAGCAATATGCATCCAGCTTTCACATCCAGAGCACTGTAGGCTTTTGAACGAGAAGTCACTCCTTTAGCGCAAGACAAGCATTTGGACGCCATAGAAAATGTAGTTCAAGTGTGTCGCGATTCTCCGGAAACAAGCTAGAATCGCTTTTCTTCACTAAAACGACTTCAGTGGACGGAAATGCACAGTGGGACGACGCTATTCGCAGCTGATCGTATTTATCATAGCCGTTTACACGAAGCAAATCCATATAGCATTATTTTCTTTTTTCCCGCACCTTAATACCACCAAAATTAAGAATAGACTCTGCAGCCACTGAAACAAACTTGGATGTTACCGAGGACAACGGTAGCGAAACTCTTTCCCGCCATGACAAAAATTGGCCCTTCCCCTTTTCTGCGGCTAACTTAGTGCAGTAAAACGACGTTCGAGCAAGCCGAAAATAACATTACCAGAACCTGGTGAGTTTATGACAAACTCATGTTGGTTTCAGGTGTTGCAAATCCAAGGCAAATTTGATTGATGCGAATGCTGTGGACTGTTCAAAAAGGCGGCTTCTCAAGTGCCGGAGAAGGCACATTTGCATGCGGA